GGTCCTACTGTACTTCTATTTTTTTTTAATTTTTTTAATTTGAGACTTTATTATTGCCAGCCAAGTTTATGGACTAGCAAGGCATAGTGACAGTAGGAAATGAATCTCCTCAGGTGAAAGTACTTGTACCAATATCTTGAATTGCTATATGGAATTAGAACTATCTGATCTGATCGAGCTACAACAGTTGTGGCTTCCTGCCCACAATGGGGAGAAACGACTGTAGATTGCACTGGTTCAACTGGACCTGAATGAAACACTTTCTCAGGTTTACAACCACTTGGTACAAAGAATGCTTTCAAAATGCCTGGCATAGCTACTGTGTTTGTGTGGGTTGAAGATGTACAGGGATTACAAGCTTACAGTGCTTCAAATGGTTGGTTTTAATGCTTTTAGTCTAGTCCAGATAAGGACTTGAAAGGCTTGAAAATTTAAAAAAGTTCTTTTCCTGCCAACTTTGGCTTCATCTAGCACAATTTTTCTCTGAGTTAAGTGAAGCAGAAACTGGCGCATTTACTTATCTGTCTGTGTGCCATTGTGGAAGTGAATATAAATCTGCACAATTGAAGAGTAATATTTTAGTTATCCGCTCACTGCAGAACTGTAGGAGGAACTCGTATATATTCTGGTGTCATATTAAAATGTGACTTAAAAAAATACATTGAGAGAATGATCTTTCCATAGTTAAGATCACAACCAGATTCCAGTATTAACCTTATTTTTAGCTTCCTGTAACTTTGGTTAGCAAAAATTTGTTTGACCTGAAAATTGCCAGGTTCAATTTGAAGGCAAAGCTGAATTTTTGTAGGTGATTTGAAGAAATCAGTGTAACTGTTCATTTACAGGTCATTAAAATAATACCTTGATGTGAAATGTTGATTTGCCAAACAATATTGAACTCAAAGGCATTTGTTCTAATACAACCTTTGAGCAGAGAAAATTAGCTATTTAATATTTTGCCTGTTCGTTGAGAGAGTTAAAAAAAACTTACCTTCTGCTTAGTAATTTTAAATTAAGTGTTTAAAACTGGTTAGCAGACTTCTACAAAAAGTCATAGAAGGTGGTGAAACAAGACTTCCAAGGTAGGTTGTGGCATCCTCATCAGTGGAGGTTTTTACGAACAGGTTAAGCAAAAAACTGTCAGGGATTTTCTACGTTTACTTGATCCTGCATCAGCTCAGGGGGCTGGGCTTCATGACTTGTCAAGGTCCCTTGCAGCCCTACATTTCTATGATTCTATAAGATGAGTAAATCAAGGATAGTTAGCAGTGTTTCTGGTGAGGGTTGTGTGAGTGGGGAGGAATAGTACCATGTAATAGTGCTCTGAGTTGTTCAATGTGATCTGATTTGAATTAATTAAATTAAATTGTTATAATGGTGACAAATACTTATTCTCTTCCTCTTCTACTGAACCAGGAGGTGTGAGTTAACTGCTTCTTGCTAAAACAACCTTTTATGTGAATGTTTTTATTATGTGTGGTCTTTGCTGTGAACTCGAATATGATCATGCTTCTGTCTGAATGCCATCAAAAGCCCAATTAGTACGGCAGGTTTAAAATGTCCAGAATGTTTGTTTTTTTTGTTTTGTTTTAAATACTCTCCTTGGTGACTGTGTTCATAGCACTGCAATCTGTGCTCCTTGAAACATGATGCTACTTTACATTTGAGTCAACTAAATTCTGTCTGGATCTTTCATCAAGGACTAATTAAAAAAAAGATGAGAACTTAGGTGGTCTCATTATTTTAATGTCTTTTAATCCTCTAGATGGAGCATAGTTATTGTTTGTTAAGATTGTAATCTTTTGAGTTGCCTTTCGAGATCACTTATTGAAAACTGTTACATGGTTAATGGCTTAACTCATACACAGGCGTGTAGTTAGGGTGACCAGATTTCCCGATTTTATAGGGACAGTCCTGATATTTGGGGCTTTTTCTTATATAGGCTTCTATTACCGCACCCCCCCCCCCTCTGTCCCAATTTTTCACGCTTGCTGTCTGGTCACCCTAAGTGTAGTCATGTGTGTTTTTTGGATTATTGGTGAAGTGGGGAAGTTTATATCTATAGGGATTGCTGTGATAATAGTGAAACTAACTTCAACTGATCCAAACAATTCATTTAAAAAAAAAATCAAGGTTCCTAAATAACAACTCTCTGTAAAACACTAGGATTTAAAAGCAAGGAAATAAATAGTTATGAACCTCATGAATCTTAAACTGTTCATATCATAAACACATTTTTATCAAATATAAGGAAAGGCATATTTCATTGTGGCACAGCCTTAACTCTGGTCAGTGGGTTTTTGTGTTTTTGTTACATTTCAGTATATAATTTTTCTTTCAAAGGATGCTGTTCAGTGAGAAATGCTAATAGGAAGTGCCAGTGGAGAGCCTGAGACATAAGCCCTTGTATCAGAGGCCGGTTATGAAGCAGGTCCTGCTCACAGAATCTGGCAAAAACAGGGCTTATGTCTCGGGCTCTCTTCCTACTACAGTGCCATTCTGATCAGGCCAGTAATCCATCTAGTCTAGTATCCTGCTTCTGACAATGGCCAGGACCAGATGTTTCAAAGCCCATAGTGGACAAGTTAAGGAATAACCTATCCATAAAAGAAGCTTCTTTCTAGCTCCCATTAGTTAGTGGTTGGCATATGCTCTTGAGCATGATTTTTTTGTTTTTATTTTTTTAAATAAACTGTATTAAGATGTTTTTCATCTAATATAGTGGTGGGCAACCTGCAGCAGGCCACATGCGGCCCATCAGGGTAAGCCACTGGCAGGCCGCCAGACCATTTGTTCACATTTGCACAGCCACCCGCAGCTTCCAGTGGCCACAGTTCGCTGTTTCCGCAGCTCCCATTGGCTGGGAACAGTGAACCGTGGCCACTGGGAGCTGAAGGCGGCCGTGCAAATGTAAACAAACGGTCTAGTGGCCCGCCAGCGGCTTACCCTGATGGGCTGCAGGTTGCCCACCACTGATCTAACAGCTGTGGATTTTGTCAATATTTATATAACATAAATATTCCTTTTTGAATCTTACTGAATGAACCCGTGGTTATTACTGACACTTTGCAGCAATGAGTTCCACAGGTGCTTAATGCTCTGTTTATTTTTATATATAAAACACTTGTCATTTTTTATATATTTTGATCAGTTGACAGAATTTTTGTTACTGTTCATAATTACTGTGAGAATAATGTATATTTAATTTGATAAAAACTACATATTCAACATTAATGTATAGCAAAATCATGAATGCACTCATGCACTCGTTTTAGCTTGGTATAGCTATACACATCGACATATTTGGTTCGAGAGCAATATAAAATCGTATGCTTCATGGTTTAATCGAATCTTTTTTGGGGGTTAGCGTGAGACTTTCATGATTATCTCATATCTGCCTACTGGGGGGTTTCTTGCACCTTCCTTTAAAACATCTGGTGCTTGCGAGTGCTGAAGACAAGATGCTGGTCCAGATGGACCATGGGTGTGATCCAATATGACTTTTCCTATATTCCTTTGATTTTGATTTTCTTCTAAAGGGTTTGGTTTTGTCCTATATTTTAAGTTTGCTTATGAAAAAGTAGTTCATGAAACATCCTTAAATTGCTATCTTGTGGCATGTATAAATTCTATTTTACAATAGGCTTCAAAAATACTTAGCCAGTTGTATTCAGAACATGAAACTGACTAGAAAAATAGCGAATTATGATAGAATTGGTTTGGAAAACTACTTTATTCAGTGTACTCCTCTCAAGCAGAATAAAGTGTTGCATATAATTAGGGGTCTACCAGATTCATGGCTATGAAAATTGTGGCATGGACCGTGAAATCTGGTATTTGTATACTTTTTACCCTAGGGTAAAAGTATACAAAGGTACACAGCGTTTCTCAAACTGGGGTTCCCAACCCAAAAGAGCATCGCAAGTCTACTGTAGGGTGGTTGCAGTATTATCCCCTTACTTCTGTGCTGCTTTCAGAGCTGGGTGCCTGTCCAGCAGCTTCCATTCTCTGGCTGTCCAGCACTGAAGGCAGAGCAGAGAGTGGCAGCTGCTGGCTAGGTGCCCAGCTCTGAAGGCAGCACTGTTGCTAGCGGCAGTGGAGAAGTAAGGGTGGCAGTATCATACCATGCCACCTTACTTCTGTGTTGCTGCTGCTGGTGGCACTGCCTACAGAGCTGGGCACCTGGCCAGCAGCTGCTGCTCTCCGGCTTCCCAGCTCTGAAGACAGCGCAGAGGTAAGGGTGGCAATATAGCAATCCCCCTACAATAGGCTTGCAACCTCCTTTTGGGTCGGGACCCCCAGTTTGAGAAGCACTGCAGAGAAATCACACATTTATTGCGGGTTGGTCACGGCATAAATAGCAAATTTCGCAGATGTATTACATGGCTATTTATGCTGTGACCAACTCGCAAAATATGTGATTTCTCTGCATTTTAAGTAGACCCCTTCATATGATCTGGGATTGCTTATTGATTATTATGCATAATCATGCTGTTTACATTAATAGCAGTCTGAAAGGCAGTATTAAGCATTTCATCAGGGCCTTTCTACTTATGAATGTAAATGTAATGTTATCATTGCTCAGGAAACACAGATGATACTATTCAACCAGTAGAGTGTCTAAATTAGACTACAATTTAAACTTTGGGGTCTGAAAAATTAATTACAAAAATAATTTATATATACTGCTTGTGCATATTTTTAACTCAGCACACTGAAGATAACTAAAAAGCTGTCATTTACTGCAATATATGTTTTAATTTTCTAATGTTTCACCACTCTTCAAAGATAGAGATTGAGAAACCAATTAAATAAATGTGGGGTAGGTTTTCTGTATAAAGTGGTGGGTGAAAAGCTAATTTTTCTAGGTTTGCACTGGTAGGGAGACAAAAATTGACCTTTGTCTGAAATTCTAAGATTTGACTAGGGAAGACAGCAAGACTTTCTGTTTTCAGTTACAGATGAAAAACTTTTGCTTAAAGTTGTCTTTCCTTCTGCAGGGTTACACGTCTTTTTGGAATGATTGTATCTCCTCTGGGTTGCGTGGCTGTATGTTAATTGAATTGGCATTGAGAGGACGTCTTCAACTGGAAGCGTGTGGAATGAGGCGCAAAAGTCTATTAACAAGAAAGGTGAGAGAGAGACAAACAAAATCTTATTTTTTTCTGTAGTGTTCTAAGCAATAGGCTAGGTGTAAATTAAAATTTGAATAACGAAAGAAAAATCTTTTCCTGTGTTGAGATGTGTTACCCAATCATGGTCAGGGCCCAAATGTGCTAAGGGCTGTAGAGTATACTGATTATGTTGTGTGTGTATATGCTTCAGCACCATCCCTACTCTGAAGAACTTTTAAAAGGAGTTAATGAATTGATGTGCAAAACTTCAAAAAAATTGAAGCATCTGGGCCCCTGTTCAGTAAAATACTTAAGTATGTGCCTAATGTAGCACAAGATCCGTCTCACTGAAGTCAATGGAACTAGTCATGTACTCCGAGTTGGGCATGTGCTTATGTACCTTATTGAATCAGGGCTCTAATTAAGCTAAAAATCGGAGTCAGTCTTTAATCTATCACTTCCGCACCTGGATTTTGCAGGTTTTAAATTAAAGTAACTCTTTATGGAGATTCCTGTAATACTTGGGGGTTATTAATCATAGCAGCGTTAATGGATATTTATAAAATCAAGTTATTGAAAAATGGTTAAATGTTGCCTTTTTACCATAAAATAAATGTACTTTTGTGGGCGGACTGCCCTGTCAGCGTTATCTTTTGGTCAACTTTTTTTAAAGCAGAGTTTGAAAACTTTCCAAACCTCCTCCCAGCCTCCTCTACTTCTGAAGAATTGGACCTCTGTTCAGGCAAACAGATCTAATTACTGTTAAGTCTAGTCCAGCAGTATTCAGCCTTGATTTGTTTGCACAGAATCTTTCCCCTTCTCAAAGCCTCATACAGTTTCTTTGGTTTGTCAGACGTTCAAGAATATTTCTTAAAGGCTATATTTATTCTGGATCCTCATACCAATACTGTTTTTCTTCCTAGAATTTTGTTAACTGCTTTTAATGAGAGTCTAAAAGATGTATTATGTGAAATTATATGAACATGTGCACGTGTGCAATCAGGAAAAAAAACAAATAGCCATCTTGCATTTTGTTTTGTTGTTGGTGTGTTTTTAAAAAATAAAATGAAAGACAACTTGGAGTCAAAAGATGTTTCAGTCTTAGGTGCTTTGTTTTTCTGGTGTTTGTCGCTGTTGAAAGAATACTTCTTTCGTCTCTATATTCCCATCTTTCCATATATGAAAGACTTAACCTAAAATGGATGAAAAGGTTATGTGGTACTTAAAGAATAGCAAAGCTAAAAGCCCTAAATGCTAATACACCTCTGCCTGGATATAAGGCGAACTGATATAACACGAATTTGGATATAATGCAGTAAAGCAGCGCTCTGGGGTGCAGGGCTGCGCGCTCTGGCAGATCAGCGTATCAGCATGTTTGGCTCCGACGCTGCTCTGAGCGGCGTGTTAAGGGTGCTGGGCCGAGGGGTTGGATAAGGGGCAGAGGGTCTCGGGGGGCAGTCAGGGGACAGGGAGAGGGGGTGGGGTTGGACAGTTCGGAGGTTCTGGCGTGGGGGGATAGGGTGGGGCATTGGATAGGGTGTGGGAGTGGGTGTGGGGGGCCTGTCAGGGGGCAGGTGTGTGGATAGGGGTGGGAGCAGTCAGGGGACAGGGAGCGCGGGGGAGGGTTGGATGGGTCGGGGGTTTTGAAGGGTCAGTCGGGGTGGGAAGTGACTATTAACAATGGAAATGCTTGAGGCCAAAGCAATTTCGATATAACGCGGTTTCACCTATAACGTGGTAAGGTTTTTTGGCTCCCGAGGACCGTGTTATATCAGGGTAGCAGTGTGATAAAAATGTTGATCTTTCACATCTCATACTTACAGGGGCACTTTCAAGGTTCATTTGCTTAGACTATGACCTACTTTTTTTTTTTTAAAAAAAACCATGCATTGTTTATTCCATCACAGTGGAGTGCGCATGCTTTTTACCAAAACAGATGCTAAAATATCAGCAACCTCGTAATAAAAAGCGCACAAGAACATCTTGAAAAAAGTGATTTATTTTGAGCTTCGAAGAGAGACCTAAATACTGTGGCAAAAATATTGAAATCATGAGGCCTATAGAAATGGAGGGGCTAGTGCATTCAGTTTATCCATCTTATTTTGAAACATCACAGATTTTAATCTGCTAAATTTTGAGGATCACCCAGACCAGTAAGGGATTCTGTCAACACCTGCCTTGTAACTTTGGGTGCTTTAATGCTATGCTGCTTTGGATCACAGCTGACACACCAATAGCCAGCCCATAAGCTTAAAGTTTCACCCTAGCTTCCACCAGCATAGTGACTCTTTGCAGGGTAACCCCAACAGCCTTCCAGTCCTGAGTCTCTCCAAACACATCTGCCCACAGTTCTGAACTACCAGACATTTGGACTTCCCCCTCTGGTTCATCATTCCCAAAGGTGTGAAAAGAGCCCCATATTATCAGTTCACTTTGGCACATGCACTCTACACAGTTTGCACAAGAGACCTGCTTGGGATAAAAAAATAAACAAAAACATTTATTTAATAGAAAAATCAGATTCAAAGATGAAATAGTAAGGGAAAGCAAATGCGTATAAATTACACAAAATAAACATAAAGATGCAACTTCAGGCTTTACACTTCTATGTTAGATAAATTCGCTTTTTTAATATCAGATATCTATTGCCTCTGAACAGTTTCCCAGCATGCCCCCGCGTCCTAAAGGGGGATCCAGCATTCACAGACAGTCAAGACTATCCATGAGTTCTGGATAGCCTTCTCTTCAACCTTTTCTCTTTTAAGTGTTTTCAGGGGAGTTTTCTCTCAGACTATAGTGGTTCATGGTAGGGGGAAATTCCCTCTTGACTGTAATGGTCCATCACTTGTCTTTTTCTGGGTTATACCGTGGATCGTTACTTGTGTCTGACTTTGGCTAAACATCTGGCTGAGGAGGAGTACCTCCCTTCTTTCAGGTGTATTTGAAATTGTAGTACAGATTATGAGCATAGAATACTATGTATATAAATGTATAGATTCACAACCACAGTCTGTATACATATCTCATAATGACCATCAAGTTCAGAACATTACAAGCTTTCATAAAAGACCTTACTCACCATATTTTTATGTACAATAACATTGTATACAAGCAGTTGATACAGTTGCTTATTATTTGTGGTTCAGACTGCCTGTTCTCCCTGAGGGGTGCCTGAACTCTGATTGTCAGCCACACAAGTTAAATATTGGTTGACTTCATTACCCTTCTTCTGAGCAAAAGTAATTTTCTTTATGGATATACTGAGACCCTCTAATACGTTTATAATCTTTCATTATAAATGTCAAGGGTCTTATCTTTCCATTCTCCTGACAAAGTTCACATTCACTCCAGGTGATGGGCGTTCAAAATGGTGTTATTCTTAGGCAGGTTTTTAAATTTAGGTGGTGCTCTCTGCCCAGAACGCTTCTTTCCAATCAAATCCCCAGATTATTGGCATTCTGCGTCAATGTACTTGTGGTTCTCGTGGAATCATGTGGCCACAGAACTGCTTAACCTTGCATGTCAGGAATCAAATATCTGCTGCCAGCCTCATTTCCCATATTCATGTTACTTACTGCTCCAAAGACAGTTTGTTGAATCAGGAATTACATATGGCAGCCCTCTCCCCCCCCAATATTTCTCATGCTGTTGCAGACAAGTAAGTATGGAGGTGAAAGGTCTGAGCTGAGAGTATCTAGATGTTCAAGTAGGTTTTAAGGCATCCCCTTCCTACACTTGATCAACAGAGACCAATCCAAAATCAACTAGTGGGAGACTTTCAAGTGACTTCCTTGGGCATTGGAGTAGGTCCTAGGAAAGTGCACACATGTTCAGGTCAGGTAATCCTTTGGAATTGGGAAAGGAGAATGAACTGAGCAAAATAAATTATAAAAGAGTGTGCTGCTCAGTGCAGGGCAAGGGGAGATGGATTGTAGTACACACTTTAAATCAGAGGTCCCCAAACTGTGTGGCATGCCCCCCGAGGGGGCACAGAGGAATGTTGCGAGGAGGGAGTGGCACCCAGCTCCGCTCCTGGTCACGACCCTGGCTGCAGCTCCTGGCCCTGCACCCACGGCCCTCCCATCTGCAGGCGCCCCGGCTCCCAGCCTCAGCCCATTGCCGGGGCTCTGACCCCACCCCCGGCTGTGGCCCCAGCCTTGGCCCCATTACCCCTGTCCGTGGCTTCTCCCCGCGGCCCCGCTCCTGGCCCTGGCTGGGAGTGCGGATGGGTACAGGGGAAGGGGCGTGACCCTGAAAAGTTTGGGGACCACTAAATCATTATATTTACATTAAAAATTACTGATCTGTAGGTGGGGAACATACGTAGCTGGTTGTTATGGAAACTGTGTGCTTCATGTTCTCTGCCTTTAGTAATCACGGCTTGCTGTGCTCCCAAAAAGTGTGGTACTTTTTATCACAAGCCTCTTCCATTTATTCTTCTACATAATGTCCCAAAACAAAAACTGTTTGAAAGCAAAATGCAACTGTCAAATGTTAAGCAAGAGCATAAAGCAGACTTAAATGCTAAATTTGGAGATAAATACAGCAAAATCTAACATGCAAATTTATGGACTCTGCTAAACTTAAGGATGTCAGAATGATAGTTATCATTATTGGCAAGTCTCGTAATTTTATTGCAAGTCTTTTGATATGTTGGTGTTTCATCTAAAGCCATCTTGGAGACAACTGTTTATGTCAGAATCAGCTTTCATTTGAAAAAAAAATAGGTTTCTTATCCCAGTTGTGGAGAAAACGTTGAAAATGTGACCCAGGTGCACCTTGAATGGTCAGAAACCAAAAGGCAAATAAAAAGAACCCAATATGTTATAATTTAAAAAAAATTGGGGGAGGAAGGGAGGGCGACTCATAATTTTTGAATATTTAGGATTGGCAGCATTGAGTCAGACACCCATAAACAAGTGGATTACCAGACTAGGAGGTCCATACAGTGAAGAACTTGCTTGAAGAGGAGAAGTTTCTTATTTAGTACCACTCAACTCCAAAGCAGCACTGCTGCA